AAATGTCAATATGTGAAAGATGACAACATTAAAACAAAAAAGGACTAAATAGTGTAGTCCTATAACTTCCATATGGGGAGGAAGTTAAGGTGTTATCAAGAAATAAAAGATTGCTTTAAACTTAGAAAAATAGAGGTAAATTTTAAGGTAACCACAAAGGAAACTAACAAATCTACCCAACAAAATAAAAAAGAAGAAAAACATAAAGAGTCAGCAAACACAAAATCAACAATTATGAAAAAGATGAAAAAATATATATAAAAGACCCAGCACAGAATGTTAAGTGGAACAAAAAAATGTTAAGACCACAAAAAAGGAAAAAAAGCGTCAAAATGATGGCAGTAAACTCATACCTATCAATAATTACGCTGACTTCAAATGCACAAATAAAGAGACAGAGAGTGGCAGAATGGATAAAAAAACATGATCCGTCCCTGCCTACAAGAGACACACCTTTGACTCAAGGACACAAACAAACTAAAACTCAAAGGATGGAAAAAAAATATCAAGCCAACAACAACCAAAAAAGAACAGAAGTGGCAATATTAATCTCTAACAAAATAGACTTTAAAGCAAAATCCACCACAAAGGATAGGGAAGGACACTATATAATGATTAAAGTGTCAATACACCAGGGGGACATAACCATAATAAATATATACACACCCAACAACAGGGCTCCAAAATACATAAAACAAACTAACAGCATTGAAAAGAGAAATAGACAGTTCCACAGTAATAGTAGGAGACTTCAACACACCACTTTCGGTGAAGGACAGAACATCTAGAAACACAATAAAGACATGGAAGATCTAAATGCCAGAATCGATCAACTTGACCTCATAGATATATACAGAACACTCTACCGAACGGCAGCCAAGTATACATTCTTTTCCAATGCACATGAAACATTCGCCAGAATAGACCACATATTAGGCCACAAAGCAAGCCTTAACAGAATCCAAAACACTGAAATATTACAAAGCAACTTTTCTGACCATAAAGCCATAATAGTACAAGTCAATAACAGAAAAAGCAAGGAAAAAAAAAA